TTGAATGGGAGGGCAGGTGCTCGAATTTGATGCCCGATTTCTGGCTTAGGAGAGACTCACTCAGTATCGTACACCTGGTGCAAAGACCAGGTTTGACTTTGTGATCAAGGGTGGGACAAGAGCAGCAAGTGCAGGGAAACCTCAGCGTGCCCGGAACACTAGTTTAGGGAGCTGCTTGGCTGAAAGTGTTCCATGTCAAACAAGTTTGGGATGCTGGTCACACCAGGTGACTCTGTGGCTTAAACTCCTTCAGAGGCTCCCCATTTCTCTCAAAGCAAAGCCCAGGCCTCCAAGACCCTCCCTGGTGGCTGCTGCCCATCATCTGGCTGAGCTCACCTCACCACTCTCCCCTGGGTCGTCCCCGCAGCTCCAGCCCCTTGCTGTTCCTTGCTGGGGTGGCGTGCTTCCACTATGGGGCATATGCTCTCACTGCCCCTCTGCGGAAGTGCTCCTGGACACTGCCTCATCCCACCAGCTCCTTTTCAATCTTTGCTCAATCCCACTTCCTGACTGAGCCCTCACCTCACACCTCTCATCCTTCTGCACTCCCAGCCCCGCTCACTCTATGGTGTTTTCTCCTTTTTTAATTTCATTTATCACCTTATAGTATACTATATACTGTTTTCATTTATCCTGGTATTGTTTGTGGTTTATCACTGCTCCCTGGGGATTTGGTCACTGATGTATTACCCCAAGTGTGGGGAACAATGCCCAGCACATGGCACTCAGTAAACACGTGTTGGATAAATGCGTATCATTCGACAGAGGAGGTGCTGAACAATGAAGGTACACCTGTACCATGGCATGTGATGTTACCATTAAAAGAAAGATTCAGGCCCACGGAGGACCACAGTATCTGTGATAAATTGTTAAGTGGGGAAAAACTAAATTGAAAAGTTATGTGTATAGGTTGATTATTTTTTATATATGAAAAAAACAACAACTCGTATTTGTTTGAATGAGTTTCTTTGCAGCCCCGTGTTTGACTGGTTGCAATCAGTATTAAAGCTTTTATGGTCTGAAAGAAAAACATAATTAAGTTTTTAAAATGATGACTAGATGGAAAGCTATTTCTATTCCTTTTGTTTTTCACCTCTCAAAACCAAAAATGTTTATTTCCTCAGGGGAACCATAGGATTCCATTGTATCCCTACCAAATATGTCTTCAAATAAAATAGTACAGCATTTTGATCTCCTATCATGATTTAATTCATTCATTTAATCTCAACTATTTAGGGAGTGGTTTTCCTAGAAACTTGCATTTTTAATCTAGGATGAAGCCAGCTGGGCTAGCTGCGGACTTGAAGGGAGGAAACGCCCAAGGCTGCCGGCTGTGGCGGCTGCGCTGGGGAAGGGCCTGGGCGCACATGGGGAGTCCTGCCCGGCGGTGGGGGCTGCGCTGGGGAAGGGCCTGGGCGCACATGGGGAGTCCTGCCTGGCTGTGGGGGCTGCGCTGGGGAAGGGCCTGGGCGCACATGGGGAGTCCTGCCTGGTTGTGGGGGCTGTGCTGGGGAAGGGCCTCCACATCCATGGAGAGTCCTGCGTGGGGGCTCCTGGCTGACTCTTAACCCAGCCTGCATGACAGACAACCCACCGCTCAGAGGCCGCCCTCATGGTAGGTAACTACATCAGAATTAGGGGTTGCCTGCGCTTTGCACCCCACAAAAAACAAGCCTGGAAGACCATTTAGAGGCTTTCTCGGCACAAAGCACAGCCACCCCTTTGCTTGCTTAGTGCCAGCCGTTTGAGTTAAGTCCTGCTGTAACTAAACATTGAACCCTATTGTACATCTCCTATTGAGAGACTAAATTACTTCTTTTGGCTCTTACAAAGTGTCAGAATTTTATGATAGAAACAAATGGTTAAACTGTTAGACTTTTAGATATAACTTTCTACACATTAAGAGAAAACCATGAATTTGGTTCCCACTCACAGGGATGGATTACCCAATAAGCAAGGAATGCATGAGCTGACATGGTGAAAAACAGGTGAAATTGTGCATTACAGATTCATAAGTAAGCACAAGTAAGCCCGTGTGTACCTTGCTTATTTGTTAATCCACCCCTTTCCACACATAAGCACTCAAAGCACACCCAGTGGAAGAGCTTACAAATGTGTAAACTTTGCTCCTGTGAGAACATGTTTGCCAGACTGAGTCATGCAAATCCTTGGCCTGGGTTTGAGAAGGTGCCCACGCTACAGGGTGGCAAGAAGGAACTGATGCAGACAGAACATTCCATAGATTCTCTCTCCCAACCATACCCTGAGGTCTGAATGATGCTGGAGAGAAGACACAGCCAAGAGAATAACAGGAAAACCATCAAATGGCAAATGGTGATACAGAAAATAAAAACAATTAGATATACAGGCAAACACAACCAACAAAACACCAAACCCATTGCTGTTGGGGCAATTCAACTCATGGCAACCCCATGTGTTACAGAGTAGAAATGCTCCATAGGGTTTTCTTGGCTGTAACCTTTAGGAAAGCAGATCACCAGGCCTTTCTTCCAAGGCGTCACTGGGAGGGCTTGAACCACGTACCTTGAGGTTAGTAGTCAAGTGTAAACTGTCTGCACCACTCAGGGACCTTATTGGATACGCAGAGAAGATTAAAGAAGTGGCAGAAAAGTTTTAATACTCAAAAATTTGATTTTAAAGGAAATCAAGGTGTCAAAAGTTAGGCAAAAATAACTAATTTTATTTCCATTCTGCCACCTTGCCCCTTGCTCCTCGCTGTCGGGGTTAAGAATTAAGGAAGAGTGAAGGAATGCGAACTTCTCCCCAGACCTTCAAGGCAGTCCTCCTCCCCTTTGTCTGTGGCAGTCACCTGTGAGTCAGCCTAGAAAAGGTCAGTAGGGGAAATGGAGGGGAAGGAATGTGCTCCCAACACTTGGAGGCTCGCAGCCAAGGAAGCAGGAAGTAGCATGTTTTTACTGCTTTGCACAGGTTCATTCCAATTACGTCTGCACAGAGCCCCAAGAGAAAAATGCAATTCGGTAGTGACCTGGTAACCACATTCCTGGAGCCTTGATCCAAGAACTGGAAAAATCCAAACAACGCTAGGGAAAGAGGCAGAGTACAAAAAAACACAATTTCCATTGTAAATTACTATGATATATTTCTTGTTATTATGTAACTAATAAGTGGAAATTCTAGACTATCTAGATTGTGCCTTATCTTTCCTACGCAGAAATAATTTTTATATCTTGAAAGCTTAGCAATTACTGTTAAAATGCCAGTATTTCAAAGTTTTATTGAAAATGCACCTCATTAAGGCTAAAAGTTGGTACAGGCTACCCTTGAGTTTGGCTAGTTGGGTTTGGTTGGATTACAAGGTGACTGGGTCTAGGAGGGGATCGAGGCCAGGACCTACAGCTGCTGGGCTCATCTTTCCTGTGGGCTGTGGCAGTCACTGGCCTGTCCATGTACCAGGTAGACATCAAGGTTCATCCATGAATTCTGTTCTAATTGTTGGGCCCTTGACTGAGAACTGTGTGCTAAAATATCTTTGAGAAGTCCTACCATGTTTTCGTGTTTATCAATATTCACACGTATCGGAATCAGAAACTTGAATTCTGGGTACTCGAGCTATAATGATGAGCTGGAGTCCCCTTTGACCTGTCTCCTCCAAGCTCATCCTTCCACCATATCGTTAGTTAAACTGTTTGGAACAGCATATTATCAATTATCACAGATATTTAACAAGCTTATATTTGCTTTTACTGAGTGATATAGATTCTCATAAGTTATATACTAAAAAAATGTAGATAGTGGAGGTTTTTGGTTCCCATTTACCCTTTGCTTGTTACTTTTTCTCAGTTGTGGGGAGAGCAATGCTATAATTTTAAAGCTTGGGAAACACCACCCTTTCTGTCCCTCCCTGACCTGCCTTCATGTACTCATTCATTGATTCACTCACTCATGCATTCATTCAGTCTGCATTTATTAAGCACTACAATGCAGATGTGTTCCCTGGGTGGTGCAAACAGCTCATGCTGGACTATTAACCTAAAGTTAGCGGTTCGAACCCACCTAGCAACACCATGGAAGAAAGGCCTGGCAATCTGCTTTCATAAAGATTACAACAAAGAAAACTATGGAGGAGCTCTATTCTGTAACACATGGGGTCACCATGAGTTGAAATCGATGGCAACAGGTTTAGTTTAAGGTTTTTTTTGGTTTACCATGTAGATTATGTTGATTTTACATGGTCTGGAGGATGCAGAAGTGTCTGCAACAGAGACCCTGCCCTAATTTAGAGGCTTCTAATCTCATGGGGGACAGACAGGCTCATCAGAGCAAGGGACAAGGTCTCTCGGGCACACAGAGGAGGGGGCCCTTACCTCTGCCCTTGAGGTCAGGAAATGTGTCCAGGAGGAGCAGCAAGGCATGAGGCAGGGTGAAGGGATCAGTCAGGAGGGAAGACCATGCCAGGCAAAGGGAAAGGTATGTACAAGAGCAGAGGGAAAGGTGGTTTCCTGAGTGGTTACACAGCCCTGTAGCTGATTGTTCTCTGCATTAAAGCAGGCTATTGTGGGAAATGCCCACATATGAGGGTGGAGGGGGCAGGAACTGTCAGTTTTATTTATTTATTTTTGGTCCTGAATAGTCACAATAAATACTATCATTCACTTCTTTGTAAGATATACAATGATGACCTAGAAACTTTCACACTATTTTCGAAAAAAACACAGTGGTTAAGAGCTTGGAAGCTAATCAAAAGGTCGGCAGTTCGCATTCACCAGGAGCTCCTTGGAAACCCAATGGGGCAGTTCTACTCTGTCCTATAGAGTTGCTATGCGCGGGAATCAACTGCATGGACAAAGGGTTGGTTGGTTGGTTGGTTGGTTTGGGAGAAAACACGTTTAAACCCCAAGTTTGAATAAACATGAGCCCTCAGAGTGAGTATTTAAGTGTAGTTTGGCATCCTCCCGTAGGTTTGGTAGAGGGGTCCGCAAACCCTTGGCCCGTGGGCCCTGTGGTGGGACACGGCGCACCTCTCGCACGTGATGCGGACGCGCTCGTCGCTGGACGACTGCTGCTCGTCCTCCTTCTCCTGGAAGTGCTCCTGCACGCACTGCTCCTCGAACTCGTGCAGCCGCTTCAGCTCCTCGTCGCTCAGAAACAGCTCTGTGTAACAGGAGAAGTGTTTGTCGCGTGAAGAAACAAGTGATGGTTGGAAGAATCCATTCAGTCCTTTATTGTGAATTTCACAACGCAACTTTAATTACACTCTCTTTCCCACCACTTGTAGGCAATTCTCTCACTACCTGTTTATCATCCCAAAGTAGGATTTTATATACAGCAATCCTCTTTCTGTTAGAGCAAAATGGCTCACTTTTTAACACCAGAAACAAAATGACACCCATTAGGAAAGTGAAAACCGAGTAGTATTTTCTGGAAAACCTTTTACATATATTGTACGGATAGAGTCAAATGCACAGCATTATTTTCTCATCCTCTTTAGATGCAACAAATTAAAACATCTTGAAAGAAACATTGAATTATATAGAAAAGTGTTTCCAAGAACTCTCAACTTCTGATTTCCTCAGCTGGCTTTCAGTAATGTCGTTAGCTGCTGTGGAGTGGATGCTGCTTCCTGAGGACCCCATGTGTTACAGAGTAGAACTGCTCCATAGGGTTTTCTGAGCCCTGACGACCCAATGGTTAAGAGCTATGGGAGCTAACCAGAAGGTGGGCAGTTTTCTGTCCTGTAGGGTTGCTATGAGTCAAAATTGACTTGATGGCAACAGATTTAGTTTTTGGTAATCTTAATGGAAAGGTCCCTAGGTGGTGAAAACAGTCTGGACTCGACGGCTAACCTAAGGAAACCCTGGTGGCGTAGTGGTTAAGAGTTTGGCTGCTGACCAGAAGGTCGGCCGGTCAAATCCACCAGGCGCTCCTTGGAAACCCTATGGGGCAGTTCTACTCTGTCCTATAGGGTTGCTATCAACTCCATGGCAGCAGGTTTGGTTTTGGTTTGGCTAACCTGAAGTTGGTGGTTCAAACCCACCTAGCAGTACCTCAGAAGAAAAGGCCTGGTGATCTGCTTCCATTAAGATTACAGCCAAGAAAACCCTTTGGAGCAGCTCTACTCTGTAACATATGGGATTGCCATGAGTGGGAGCTGACGCGATGGTAACCAACGGCAACAACGATCTTAAAGGAAGCAGATTCCTAGGCTCTTTCTTTCTCGGTACCCCTGGGTAGGTTGGAACTGCCAACCTTTAGGTTGGTAGTGAAGTGCAAGCCATTTTTCACACTAGGGACCTTCAGTAATTTTAATTACTACTAATTAACAAAACCAGAATAGAATTGACACAAAACTAAAAGCATTTTGAAAAGAACAGCAGTTGGGCTAGAGTGTTGTGTTTTTACACATTTCGGTAGTTTAGTGAAGATTTCTATGAGAGCGTCTAATTGGAACATTTTCTTGAAATTAGCCCAGTATAGAAATGAAAGGGTCTTGCACATACTCAGTCCATGATCTCGTTCGTCTTGGTCCGCTTCTCTTTTTTTCCTGCAGTGACCACTAAGACGCATAATGATGATGTAGATGTGGCTTAGAATGATCATCGGTGGTGGTAAGACTGGCCGGTCATGAAATGTCATAATCAGCTGGTACCGCTGGAATTTCCACACTTGGTTGGATATTGACTTTACTTCAAAGAAGGTATTGCTTTAAAAAGAAGACATTTTTACAGTTATTTATGTTACTTTTTTTGAACTGTGGTTTCCCAGAAGATCAGTTACTCCCACTGAAATGAAAATAGAAAGATGCCTTTTAGTGCCAGTTAGGATTGATTTCTGGATTACCCTTTCTTGTTGTTTATCAATGTGGATAATTTATGCTCAAGGACGTAACTAAGAATTCAGTGTATTTGAAATTGCTATAGACTGCTTTCTTGAAAAACCACATCACAACCTACTGATTCATGTGCTCAAGAAATTGTATTTCTATACTTTAAGGTATGAGCTATTCAACTAAGCCTTTTGATGTATTTAAACTTTCAATTCAATCAAACATCCAGTTGACTACTTTTTTTTTGTCATTGAAGTGATTAATTATTAAACTGATTTGATCAAAGGTGCATTATTTTGGACTTTGGGTAGGTGCAAGCTTTGCCTTCTTTCAGCTTCCAACAAGAGGCAGTAAGCGCAGTATTGTTAGAAGCTGGAAACCCCGATCAAGCTTGTTGTCTGCTGACACTAAACCAAAACCAAAGCCATTGCTGTTGAGTCGATTCCGACTCATAGTGACCCTCTAAGGACAGAGGCCCCCTGGGGTTTCCAAGGTTGTAATCTTTACGAGAGCAGACTACCGCATCTGTCTCCCTTGGAGCAGCTGGTGGGTTCAAACCGCCGATCTTCCAGTTAACAGCCGAGAGCTTAACTAGTGCACCACCAGGGCTCCTTCTACTAACACTGAGACATTAAAAAAGCCAGTTACCCACTGCCTTAGTTTTCTCATCTCTCAAGCCAAGAGTTTGCGCCAGGTTCTCTCCAGTGTACTGTTCAGCTTTAGGATCCTGTATGTTTATGAAGGATTTTTCCTTTAAGTTTTTCATCTTAGAAGCTAAAATATTTTTTTTCGACATTTACCAAGCATGGTCACATACTCAACAAATCATGCCAAATGGCCAAATTTTGCAAGAAACTTGATTTGATAATTTAAGCTATTTCTTTCCTAGGCCATTTTTTCTTCTATTCTATAAATCATAAGAAAAAGATTTTACATAATATCACAGTAATTGTAACAGCTTATGAAACTGATATTGCTTTCTTTATGAATTGATATTGCTTTCTGTGCCTCTGATAACGAATTAAAAGCACAACTACCTCAAGGGAATTTCATCTAAGAAAATATTTTCATGCGATTAAAATGCATGTTAAAGTGTTAAAATACTAACCAAAGATGAAATTTAGATTTATTTAAATGTCGACTCACAATTGATGAACGCATTAAGGCTGATTCATTTGTGACTGAACAAAAAAGACTGCAAAAATTATATCCATTGAAAAGCCCTGGTAAAATGTGCAAAGACATGGTAATGTGGGAGATTTCTGAGATGAACCTGAAAAGCTGTAAAGCAATAATAGTAGGCACAGGTGATCAGCCCCCGCACGTACTTGAAGACAGCGATTAGCAGGTTCACCAGCAGGATGTTGGCCACTAGCAGGTAGCATGCCATGATGGCGGGTGTGAGCCAGGCACCTGGGATACAGGGCGGGAGCCGCTTGCCGTCCTCATCATACAGGTTTTCACCACAAGGAGCTGGAAGGAAAGCTTGCGCTTTTGTTCCGTACGTATAATGAAAAGAACAAGTAACTGCTACATATATTATTAAATTATCTATTTTATGACATGATTTTTTTCTGATTTCACGAGCAGTAATTTTCCGTGTGAAAATATCAACTCACACAAAAAAGAAGCTAAGAAAGTCATTACAGCACTCAGGAATGAAAAACCCCAAACCAAACCCATTGCCGTTGAGTTGATTCCATTCCGACTCATAATGACCCTATAGGACAGAATAGAACTGCCCCACAGGGTTTCCAAGGAGCGGCTGGTGGATTTGAACTGTTGACCTTTTGGTTAAGCAGCCAAACTCGTAACCACTGAGCCACCAGGGATAGTCATTCTTAATCTGACGTATTTGTAAACATTTTCCCATCTGTTCATTGTGTTTTTGATACACAGAAGTTCTTAATTTTTACACTGACAAATCTATATGGTTTCTTCCTTTACTGTTATCCATTAGAAAGTTATTGTGTCTTCTAATTATTTAACACTAGCTTATGTTTTCTTGGTTTTATTTGTACGTTAACTTTGCAAAAAATTTTGTTATGTAGAGTGAGGTAGAGATCAGACTTCCTTCTACCCCTCAAATGAGTTCATCAACTGTTCTAGTGCCATTTTAAAAAAATAATCTTTCCTTTCTCTGCCCATTTGAAATGCCACTTTTATCTTATAGGACCTATTTTATGAAGGAAAAAAAATAGGATGATTCCCAACAGTGGTTAGTGAAGTAATCTTTATGATTTTACAGTCTGCTTACTTTTACATAAGTTTAAAAAGTATTGGCATCAGAAAAGAAGGATTTGAAACTTGTATTAGACAACTAGTAATCAGCTAAGGAAAAGGCTAATTAATAAACATGTTTCACACTACAACCATTGATTCCATATCAACTTACGATTAATTTCCATGGCATAGACTATACAGCAGTTGGAAAGCAGATTTTTTTTTTTTTTTAGTTGTGACAGGAGAGAAGGAAAGAAAATAAGATGACAGTTAAGAGAAAGTAAAACAAGTGATTTAAGGACACAAGAACTGTTTTGCTGTCAATAAATGCAAAGGTCTCAAACTTTGGAATTACAGACTCATGCTTAGGAGCAGTGATTTGGGAGCGTTGAACACATTATTAATTTTAGAAAAATATATTTTCATGAATATTTATTTTACCACATGTCATAGGCAACAGCAAAATCTCAGTTAAAAAAAATACTGTAAGAAAGACTGATGCTACTGGCAGATGATCATTTTAACTTACAGGTTAACCCATTGAACAAGCATTCCTTAAGTTCCAACACAAACACATCATAAGCACAAATAGATATAAAATTACTATATAATAATCAGATCTAGTTGGAAAACCTACATTTAATGGCGCCACTGAACATAGTATAGGCTCAAGTCTGTCTCTCCATCTTCTGACATTACTGAATTTAATAATAATAAAAAAAATAAAATAAAACTACTACAGCTTATTCTGGAGTTGAGGCTCTTAGCATGCATTTATGTTTACCCAAACTAATATTATTTTAAAATCAAATTAGATTTTTATGTTCTGGCTTACCAAGCTACAAACAAATCCAGTAACTGACTTTGCGGTATTTGTAGTAATAATATGATCACATTGTGTTATAAAAGCTAAAAAGAAGGTATTGTGTGAACTAGGTATTAGTCTAACCTAGTGAGAGTAGATGCTATACTGACAATCCTCAGTTTCATAAGAGAGGAGGGTGTTCCAAACCTTCTGTTCTCAAATAGGAGAACACAGGCAGAGAAAGTATGAACATGTCAATGAAAATGTTGGTACTGACATGAAAATGGAACAAAAGAGGCTCATTTATTGGTGGTGCATTACCTGTCCCTAGTGAAATAGGCACAGAAACACTGACCTTCACTTCCCTCCAACACAAGATACCGTAACCTACTAGCTCAGCCTGAGGGGAGCTGGAGTCTACATTCCCCAGAAATCCATGGCAGGATTGCAGCTCATTTTCTCTTCTAGCATCCAGATTATTATTGATAATAAAAATAGTACTCCAGCAGTGACGAGGAAATGGATCACTATGTAGAAAGTAGGCTTGATGGCTTAAAAAGGAGGATGATGTGAAGGCCCAGTTATCCTGCATGCTCACCATTTCATTCTACCTGATAACACCACCATCTCTATTCTAGGGTGGAGTGAGATTTGGACTGGAGAAAACTAGGAGATTGGCATTGGAACTACACTGACTCAATAGGATGTTCACCAGGTCCAGCAAAGGGGAAGTGAGACTCAGAATTCTGCTTAATGGTTTTTAGAGTAGAAGAAATTACTGATGTTTCAAAATCTACATTTTATAATCTACTAATCTACACTTATTTCTTCATAAAATAATTTGATGCCTTGTGGCACGATGAAAAATACTTTATTTCCAAATTAACACGCATTTGTCCATTAATTTGGAACTGATCATCTGCCTCAGAAGCAGGGAAGAGAATCTTACTATGAATTCTATTCTTACGGTCTATCTGGTCTGCAAACACCTCTCCGTAGATCATCCAGTAGGGCATGTAGAAGATGTTTCGGGCCAGTCTCCAAGAAGGCTCCTCATCTGGGTGCAGAATAGCTTGTCGGGCTACTCCAAAACTCATCAGCACGACCAGCATGATGACCACAAAATACAGCATGTCGATCATCTGAAGAGAAAGAACACATGTCTCTTTTACTGTTTGACTCATGGGCCAAGATTACCCTGGTCCATTATATTGCTCTCTCACGTGCCTAATTAGGATGATGAAAGCCTCTATTCCTTATCTCCACCCTGTCCATAGGGCTACTCCATGCAATGCAAAGGCTTACTCTAGAACATTGCTATCCTCATCTGCTCTTAGTCCTTCTTGCTTCTCCTTTATTGTTGCCCATAAACAAATGTACCTCTAGTAACTACAATTGCAGATAGAGAAAGGGAAGAATTACAAAGGAAGATGGAGTTTGTATGGGAAACTAAGGAGTAGTAAGAGGAGATACCTGAAGTGGTAAAAAGATAATGAATTGAGAGTATACACCGATGCTTATTCATTTATTATCCAAACGCTGAGCAATGGCTACGAAGAGCAATGATCTGTGGGCACCGGACCTATAAAATTCCTAATTTTGGACATCCTAGAAGATGAGGATCCTTGCTGGGATAAGCTAAACCATCTCCCTTATCTCAAAGCTACTTGCCCTATAAAGCGTATTTCCTAAACTTAAGACTTCCTTTTTTCTGGGACCAATCCTAATACAGGCTACTTTAGGTAATATAAGGATACTCTGTAGGTTCATTTTTAGTTTCATATCTATGGGCTGCTCTGGAGTAAACCTCAGCGTGGATTTATCTTGGCCTAATCACACAGCATGGATTTATCTTGGCATACTTACACAGGTAATTCTAATTACCTATGTTCACTCCAGACAAGAGAACAGGAGCTGAAGATTGTCTGGAATGCAGGTGGAAGAATGAACGAGGGCACCCTTTGTCTCTGGCTTCCGCTACATGTTTGCAGATTGTCAGTCAGATTATCATTATATAAACATTCTGAAATGGATGTAACCCCACAGAACCTCAAGACCAGGTCTCCATACTAAAGAATGCCGAAAAATGTTTCTAGCCATAAAGAGTAGAATAAATATTTTGAGATACCTATTTTGCTGCTGAATTCTTATTGCATCAAAACTTGATGTTCTCTTATATCCTGGGAAGGAAAGCAAGCTCTTATAAAAGAGGAGAATATTTTCCTTTATCTTACTGCCAAAATATCCTTATTAATGATAAAACAGAAAGAATACAAAATGAAAGTAATTGGTCATCCTACAGTTTAAGTATGGTATGAAAGTTGGAAACTAACATGTGTTGGGTGCCTGATATATATAAACAGATATACATATATGTGTGTGTGTGAGGCACATTATTTCTTTTTAACTCTTACTATGAAATTTTGTTGTTACTAGTTGCTGTTGAGCTGTCTTCGACTCATGGCAGGGTTACGTATAATAGAATGAAGCGTTACCTGGCCCTGCACTATCTTCATGATCATTGGTATGTTTGAGTCCATTGTTGCAGCTATTGTGAGGTGCCTTCCAACCTAGGGGGCTCATCTTCCAGCACCATATTGGACATTACAATTTTACAAGTGGCAAAACTCAGCCTCAAAGAGATGAAGCAATGTGTCCAGCTAGTATATGATCATCCTGGTTTGATTCTGGAGCCCTGGTGGTGCAGTGGTTAAGAACTCAGCTGTTAACCAAAAGGTCAGTGGTTTGAATCCACCAGTTGCTCCTTGGAAACCATATGGGGCAGTTCTACTCTGTCCTAAAGTGTCGGTATGAGTTGGAATCAACTTGACGGCAATGGATTTGGTTTGGTTTTGGTTTTGGTTTGATTCTAAAGCTCATGCTCATTCCATGACATGAACTGACTTTTTCAATAAAACTTTATCAACACTTTACATTTACAACACTGATAAAGAACTTAATTTGACTGAAACTGAAGCTCAAACATAATTCCCCAGGTCCTGGATGATACTCTTGATTAGGTGAATCACAGCAATCTTGCTTTACATTGGAGTGGATTTCCATCAAATTGACACCGAAAGAGGAGGAGAGCAAACTCTGGTTTGAGTACAAACCAGAGCATCCTGCAGCATGTCAGAAATTCTGCGATTTTGAGAGGACAGAGGGTTAAGTGATGGCCGAGGAGAAATGTTGGAGGGGGGGATGTTTTATGGATTGAATTATGGCCCCCCAAAATTTGTATTGGAATCCTAACCCCTGCTCCTGTGGCTGTAATCCAGTTTGGGAATAGGGCTTTCTTTGTTATGTTAATGAAGCCATTTCAGTGTAGGGTGTGTCCTAAACCTAATCACTTCTGACTTAGAAGAAGCAGCAAAAAAAAAAAAAAAAAACAAAAACCAAAAAAACCCAAACCCATTGCCGTCAAGTCAATTCCAACTCATAATGACCCTGTAGGACGAGTAGAACTGCCCCATACGGTTTCCAAGGAGCAGCTAGTGGATCGAACTGCCAATCTTTCAGTTAGCAGCCTAGCTCTCACCCACTGTGCCACCAGGGCTTCAGAGACAAGGAGCACAATTTGGGGAAGACAGAAGCACATGTGAAGATCGCCAAGGAACTGAGGAACGCCAGGGCTAGGGATGCTGGAGCTATAGAAGCTGAGACAAGCATCTTCCCCTACAGCCAGTAAACGGAGAGTCTTCCCCCATAGTTGGTGCCCTGATTTTGGACTTTTATCCTCCTGAACTGTGAGAAAATAAACTTTAGTTTTTTAAAGCCACCCATTTATGATATTCTGTTACAGCAGTTCTACGATAGAATGTACTATACCCATTGCTGTCGAGTCGATTCTAACTCATAGCAAGCCTGTAGGAAATAGTAGGACTGCCCATAGGTTTTCTAAGGCTGTAAATGTTTATGAGAGCAGACTGCCACATCTTTCTTCTGTGGAGCAGTTGGTGGATTTGAACAGCTGACCTTTCAGTTAGCAACTTAGTGCTTTAACCACAGCACCACCAGGGCCTCTCTAGAAAGTACTATAAAACCAAAACCCAAATCTGTTGCTGTTGAGCCAGTTCCGACTCAGAAAGTACTATGTGAAGTGTTAAAGAGTAAGCCATGTATGTCCACCTGTGGGTAGCTGATCTTCGACCAAGGGCCAAAATCCATTAAATGGGGAAAAGATAGTCTCTTTAACAAATGGTGCCAGCAAAACTGGATATCCATTTGCAGAAAAATTAAACAGGATCCATACCTCACACCACACACAAAAACTAACTCAAGATGGATCAAAGACCTAAATGTAAAACCTAAAACTATAAAGACCATGGAAGAAAAAAATAGGGTCAAAACCTAGGGGCCCTAATTTATGGCATAAATAGACTACCAAATATAACTAAAAATGCACAAACAGCAGAATATAAACTAGATGACTGGGACCTTCTAAAGATTAAACACTTAGTACATCAAAAGACTTCTCAAAAAAAGTAAAAAGAGAACCTACAGACTGGGAAAAATTTTTTTTGCGATGACATATCTGACAAGGGACCAAACGCTAAAATTTATAGAAAACTTCAACACCTCAACAATAAAAAGACAAACAATTCAGTTAAAAAAATGGGCAAATGACATGAACAGATACTTCACCAAAGAAGACATTCAGGCAGCTAACAAACACATGAAGAGATGCTCTTGATAATTAGCCATTAGAGAGATGCAAATCAAAACAAGGAGATATCACCTCACTCTGGTAATAATGGCAATGATCAAAAACAGAAAACAACAAATGCTGGTGAGGGTGTGGAGAGATTGGAACTCTCATACACTGCTGGCAGGAATGTAAAATGGTACAACCACTGTGGAAAATGGTATGGCACTTCCTTAAAAAGTTAGAAATACCATATGACCCAGCAATCCCACTGTTAAGTATATATCCTAGAGAAATAAGAGCTTTGACATGAATAGATACATGCACAACCATGTTCACTGCAACATTATTCACAATAGCAAATGATGGAACAACCTAAGTGCCTATCAACGGATGAATGGATAAACAAATTGGCATGTACACACAGTGGAATACTATGCAATCTTAAAGAATAACGGTGAATCTGTGGAACATTTCACAACATGGATGAACTTGGAGGATATTATGCTTAGTTAAATAAGTCAATCACAAAAGGACAAATATTGTATGAGACCACTATTATAAAAAGTCAAGCAAGGGTTTACACACAGAAATAAACATTCTTTGATGGTTACCAGGGAAGGGAGGGAAAATCACTAACTAAATAGTAGACACGTATTAACTTGGATGGAGGGAAAGACAATACACAATATGAGGGAAGTCAGCACAACATGACCAAGATAAAGGAAGACATTGAGAGGTATGCAAGAGTAAAAGGCAACAACGGTAAATACTATTACATACACAATCCTGCAATAACAGTAATAACAAACAATAATTCACGAGTGGATTCATAGGTAGATGTGCAAACTGAACAGGTGTGGGATGGCATATGGGAGTACACTCACGAGTATATATAGGTTTGGCAGAGGATATTTCTACATACGTATTTCTATATGGTGCAAATATACCCATGTATATAGTAGAGCACACAGAGTGCACAGTTATGAAAACTTCTTAGCCATAATCAAACATCTTGAGGTACTGAGTTACTGGGCTTGAGGGCTTAAGACCATAGTCTTGGGGGGATATCTAGACCAGTATAACATAGTCCATAAAGACAATGTTCTACATCCTACTTTGGAGAGTAGCAACTGGGGTCTTAAAAGCTTGCGAGTGGCCATCTAAGATACAGTTATTGGTCTCTTCCCGTCTGGAGCAAAGCAGAGTGAAGAAAATCAAGGTCTCAAGGAAACAATTAGTCCAAAGGACTAATGGGCCACACAAACCACAGCCTCTACTAGCCTGAGACCAGAAAAACTAGGTGGTGTCAGGCTACCACTACCAACTGATCTGAGCGGGATCACAGTAGAAGGTCCTGGACAGAGTGGGAGAAAAATGTAGAACAAAATTCAAATTCATAAAAAAGACCAGACTTACTGGTCTGATAGAGACTGATGGAATCACCAAGGCTCCTTAGACACCCTTCATATCTGGAACAGAACCCACTCCCAGAGATCACCTTTCAGCCAAACAATAGACAGGCCTATAAAGTGAACAATAACACCTGTAAGAAATGTGCATCTCAGAACAATCATCCAAGATCAAAAGGGCAGCATTCACCTCAAAACAAATTTCAGAAAGCAGGAAGGGGCAGGAAAGATGGGCGAATGAAAATGAACTCAGGGAGGAAGTGGGTAGAGTGTTGTCACATTGAGGGGGTTGCAACTATTGTCACAAAACAAGATGTGTATAAATTGTTGAATGGGAAACTAATTTGCTCTGTAAACTTTTACCCAAACCACAATAAAATGTTCAAAAAATAAAAAATAAAAAAGATTCTATAGAAGAATCCTGATCAAAAGAGGGAAAATGCGAAACAGAATTTAAAATTCTCATGGACTTCAAACTCTCTGGAGCCATGGACGCTGGAAGTACCCCTGAAATTATTGCCATAGATAATCTTTAAACATTAAACCAAAAATATCCCCTGAAGTCTCCTTAAAACCAAACAATAGTTTAGCTTAACTAGTAAAGAATGTCTGCCTTGAGCATTGTGCTCTTTTAAGATCTATAGATACAGGATCAGATTGACAACAGCAACTAGAAAGATTAGATAGGACACTTCGGGAGCATCTAGTTTATGTTAATGAGGGAGGAACAACTCGGAAAAAGAGGGTGAGAATGTTTGCACAACTCAAAGAATGTAATAAGTGTCACTGAATTGTACATGTAGAAATTGTTGAATTGGTGTATATTTTGCTGTGTATATTCTCAACAACAACAACAAAAATAAAATAAATTATAAAAAAATAGTGGAAAAAAAAAGAGTACTCCATGGTAATGCCCTTCTAGCAGTTGGTAGCAGGGTTAGAATTGCAGTTGTGCTGCAGTGCTAATATTTTTGACCTCATACCCCCCTCCAGCTTTCACTTATTTCTCTGGACCCCTTCACAGAAAGTCTTCAGTAGAGTTGTCTAGGCCCACTGACTTCAGTTTCTCTTCTATCATTTTCTCTGGAACCCATCCCTAGCAGTCTTTCTTCCTCCCCTCACTGTTTCTCTCCTTGATCCACCATGTTGCCAAATCCAGTGGGTCGTTTTAGTCCTCATCTCACTCAATCTCTCAACAATATAGATTTAATGGATCACCATTTCCTTCTTGAAACAGTTTCTTCAGTCTCTTCCTGCTTCCCTTCTGTCTCCTGGCCCCTCCTCATTCTCCTTTGCTGGATCCTCCCCTCTTTTCTCCCTGTATAGGTTGAAGTGCTGCCAGAACCTGGCCTTAGACCTCCTCTCATTGTCTACTCTCCAACGTCTATTTCCAACCTTGACCCCTCCCCTAGGCCCCAGACCTTTTCTCTGTACTGCAAATGCCTGTTGTGAGTCTACTCTTGTGCCTAATACACATTCCAAACTTATGGCCAAAGAAACCTTCAATCCCCCTCTTCAGACCCGTACCTCTCCCATTTCCAAACTGGGACCCATCTCTCACCCGGTTACTTAGGCCAAAACTTTGGAGCGTCCTTGACTCTTTCTGTTCTCTCTCATCTTATGTCCAATTCATCACCAAATCCTGCCAGTTCTGGCTTCCCAATATATCTGGATCCACTGCTGGGCACCACTTCCGCTGCTACCTCCCCAGACCTTCCTAACTGGCTCCTGCTTCCACTCTTGTACCCCTGCAGTCTCAGCGACCTTTCTCAACATGAATCAGGCCACATCTTGCCCTTGCTGAAATCCCTGGTGGCTTCCTTTCACACCCAGCATCACCTAAACTCCTCACTGGGCCCAGTGGCCCTGGGTGGTCTGCCCACCGCCAGAGCCTCTCTATACATCAGCCACACTGGCCTCCTTTCCATAGTGCTCCTTGCCCACGGTCCTCACAGGACCTTTGCCCTTGTTGTTCTCTGTGCCTGGAATGTCTTCCACAGATGGTCTTAAATCTTGTCTTACTCCCTTCAGGTGACTTCACACATCATCTTCTTTGAGAGGATTTCCAGAACATTCCATTGGCAAGAGAAGCCCTACTACTCTCCCTCCCTTTACATTGCTTCATTTTCATCAGAGCACTTATCATTATCTGACACAATTTTACAGATTGCCTTGCTTATTCCTTCATTGTCCATCTCCTCGTAGGAGGTGAACTTCAAGGAGGTACACACTTTGTCCGTCCTGATCCCATGGTGTCATCAATGCCTAGAACAGCACCTGGAACAGAGCAGGCTCTCAACCATCTGACAAATGGGTGAATGCCAGCGTGGCTCATTCTCAGTGGAATCTGCTGGGGGGTGGGGAGTACTCTGTTTTCTGTGTTAATGAATTTCCAACCCTAAAACAGGAGTCAATGTGTAAATGGCTGGGCCTCCCTCTCATCACCAGATCTTGCCCACAGACACCCCCTAATCCTGCAAGAGGACCAAACTTCCTCAGTTCTGGCGTGGGTCTGATTCTGCGGCAGGAGCACTATGCCCTTTCCTGTCAGCATGACCGGAGACAGGTGGCTGAGAACATGTTCTGCCAGGCCTGTTACTGGGTTTGCTTTAACCTAGCACTTGGCCCTGAACCTGGGTCTTTACATTGTTGCCTGTGGTACGCCTCCCTTTCTGCCCAGTTCTGGCACCGGGACCTCCTCTGGCACCCTGCACTTGAGCTCTGGTTTGTTTCCGCCCGGGCTCCTGCACCTGCTGAGCACGCCTGAGACAGTGACTGTGCCCACTGGCACCGCCGCCTTGACTGAGCAAGACTGTCTTGTGGCTGGGCCCTGCTTGAGGGCTGAGGTGCTCTTTGCTGCCTCCCTGTGGACCTCCCCAACACTGCCCACCCCAGAGCTTCCTCCCAAGTCCCTACTCTGAGGCCTGCCCTCATCCCGTCCCAGGAGGAGAACACGCTGTGTGAACACCAGAATCTACCTCCTACCCACATTCCCATGGAGGAAGTTCGTTTTCTAGATGCTTTTCTGAAACATATACATTCTCTGCAATGCAGGGTGCCCTGTCCAATCATGTCACCTGTTCAATTGCTACCTTGAATTCCAGCCTAAAATTTGTTATTTTTATTTAATTTATCATGAGCTTGTGTTTCCTCCCCAACTAGGTTGGAAACTCCTCAACTCATGTTTGTCAATTGGTTTTTATTAACTCATTAACTGTGCATCTCAGAGCAAAGAATGTTTCCTATAAAAAACCAACCTTGGAGCAAAGACCAAATGAAACTCCAGGAGCCATGCCCAAGGCCTAGCCTTGTGTCAAAGCACGGCCAAGTTGTCCTTGGTCACTCACAGTGTTAGTACTAACCATCTTTCCGATCATCATCACGTAGGGCCCCAGGTACTTGTTGACACCAAAGATGTCCAGGACTCGGATGTACCAGAAGATAATGTCCACACAGTAGATCACTCGGCCATAGCCCATGTACGGCTGATTCTGTAGGCGAAGGATCGCTCCAATCATGAACATAGAGATGGCCACCAGGTCAGTGATGTTCCAGTACTCCTGAAGCCAAACTTTTACCTTCTGGCTGAGTTTGCCTGGTTCTGACATGAGGATCTGAAAGTAAACCCCCAAGAACACATAAACTAAGAGCGTTGTGTTCCACCTCGTCTTCTTAGACTCGTGGACAGGTAGGACTGGTGGAGCATTCCAGGGCATCTGGTCCCATTTCCTGCTGAAGACCTCTAAACATCAATCTTCTCAAGAAGAGAGCGATATTTAGACAGGGGAATTCCATGGAATCCTCTGTATTCTTACATTCAGTGTTTCACAAACATCACTATCAGGAAATGCTTTCTAAATTATACCCTTCTGTCTGTACTTAAAGCAGCCTGATTTCTTTTCTAATTATCTGGACATGCGCCTGCTAGCTCATGTTCCAGACTTGGCAGAGGAGAAAAACTCCAGAGCAGAGATGAGGCCTGTGTGGTCCCGCAGGGGGCAATCCACGCCGGGGGGATGGCAGAATTGGGCTTGGAGATATTTATTTGCGAAAATTCCTTTACAACTCAGATGTGAGAGGTCAGGAGAAGTTGAACCTGGTTTTCCCCTACTTGAGACACTAGCTTTGGAAAACTACCACTGATGAAAGGAACACTTCCTCAGAGTAAAACTGGAAATATTTAACAAGCAGCATGCCCGGGGCACGCACAGACCAATCCCAGTGGACTCAGCTGCCGTGCTGGAGCGGGGCTGGGGGCCTGCGGTGCCAGGGGGTAACCCAGGAGGTAGGTCCCAAGGCTGGGATGGGTGGTGGCTAGTTACCAGCCAACACAGAAGGAATTCATTATTTTAACAACCAGTGTAGACTGGCTGATGTGTGCTTACTTTTTCCTGTAACTGGGGCTGAGCTCCTAGAATAAAGAGCAGTGTCTTACTGTATGGCTGACTTTCAGCAAGGATCATGAAGCACTAAGCTACGTGAGGCAACCATTTTGGATATCCTAGCCGTAACATTTGCAGAGTTTGAATAAAACCCAACTAGAGACCAAAGAGTAGCAGTAGACGAGATGAGTTGTAAAACTTTGAGTTTGACGCTGTTTTGGTTTCTCTTACAAATGTGATTGGTCAGGCTCTCATTAAAAAACCATTGCCGTCAATGGACCTGATTCATGGTGACCCCATGTGTTTCAGAGTAGAACTGTTCTCCATAGGGTTTTCTTGGCTGTAATCTTATAGAAGTAGATCACCAGGCCTTTCTTCCATGGCACCAATGGGTGGATTTGAACTGCCAACCTTCAGGTTAGTAGCTGAGTGCAAACCATTTGTACCACTCAGGGACTTTCAGGCTCTCATTATACACTAATTGTCATTAGACACCACTGGCATCAAACTCACTACCTGGAAGAGGTTCTTGGTCATATTTTTAACTTCAGCGAAAGGTTCAATAATAAGTGCAAAATAATGTTATTGGTTCTATGTCAGTTGAAGAAAGAATTTGAAATATGCTGTGTGCTTTTTCAGTTCCAGTTTATTTTTTTTCTTGGATAAAAGCTTTCTCTTTATAAGCTAATCTAGTGAAGTGAAATTTGTGGATTATATTAGAAAGAAAAGTACCTGGCCCATATTTTGTCTGCCACCTGCAGAGACTGCCTCTCTGATTTACATTTTGGTTTTAAGCCCTTTGTAATGTAAGGATCACGTATTAGATGGTGTCTGTTCTTTTTCAATATTTAGTTGAACATGTTGTTTACTCTGTTTGCAGCAGACGCGTTGGTGCCTGCCCAGATCCCCGGGGGTCCTTTCGCCAGGCGTGTGTGCCCATCCCTGCCTGTTTCGGTGCTGCAGTTAGCCTCACACCTTTCACCTTCTCGGGAGTCTTGTCCCTGGGTAACTGCCTCTCCAGTCGGTGCCAATGACTGACGGAGGTGGGATACAAAACTCCACTCCCTTGGCTCAGGGTAGACCAGAGCCTACGGTCTCCAAAACACTCAGAGCCACCTGCTGGATTAGGTGGGGGTCAGATTCCACCTGAGACCTCTCCTCGCCTCCTCTTCCTCCTTCACAGGGCCTTCCTGAGAGCCCTTCTTAATAAATCACTGAGGGACCCTGACCTGGGACAGGTCGTTCAGAGTAGAAAGTCACAGGAAACATTTCGCTTCCTACATCTCTGTGTTTCTAGTTTTAGCTTCCAGAAAACTAAGCCCAAATTTGTACCCAGTTATAATTGGTACATCTCAGGTTCTTGGCAGCGTGTATCCAGACTCAGACCTGTTTTAACACTAACCATCATTTACTTTGCCTTGTGTTTTGATTTGCTAGTTCTTTCAAATTCAGGTGGAAGCAGGGACATATACAGTATAAGCAAATGAATGGAATAAACTTGGGATATAATGTTTATGAAATGTTTTCGCAACAAGGGGCCGTATCTAATTTGAAGTCAGTGGTTAGTGGGGCTGGGCTGGGCCTTTGGAGTCCTCACCTCTCGGATTTTCTCCAGGGCCAGGCTCACAATGTAGGAGATGACAACCCACTCCTGCATCGAGGGCCAGCGGTCCATCCGCACCAGGATGACATAATTAAACAGCAGGAGATAGCCCAAGTACGAGATCTGAAATAAGAACAGCCGTTAGTAGTGTTTGGTAATGTGTTAAAGTTTTGAAACCCTATTTTCAGGTTGACACATCTTGTAAAACAAATTTTTCTTTCCAACGTGACCAACTCATTTAGAAGAAGCCTTTGGGTCAAATCACCAGTGCAGGAGAGAAGTGTGAAGCAGGTCGGGAAGCACTTCACCACGATGTGAGCCCTGGGATTTCATTTTCTACGTGAAGATGCCTGTGTTGTTACTATTGCCCTTGTGGGGAAATTGTGAAGTTGTACAAAATTATAATAAACAGTCAAACTTTTAATAGTTTAATGGCGTGTCTCCTATATCCCTGGAAACTGGAAAATGGTACTTTCTCCTCACTGCGTTGAAAATGTCCCTCGTGAATCTTTCACTACTAACAGGAGGGTGGGAGATGGGAGGCTGTGTTGATGAGTGATCTGACCAGGCATGAGTTCCCTCAGTTAGCCTGACATGTCTAATGATACACTGTGGCCACAGTGGGCCCCCATCTTTGTGGCAAGAAAAGATAGAATTGGGGTGGGAGGTAGGTGAGGTGCATGGGGATGAGGTATGGTGTGCGGGGAGGTTGTCTGGGGTTGATTCACTGTGAAGCTGACAGAACTTCAGCTTCAGGACCCCTCATTGGCACGGGCCCCTTCCCAAGTCTTGGGGAGGCCCTAGCAGTTGTGTATTTGTGATTCTGTCGCCTTTTTTTTTTTTTTAAGACCGCTCCCCCACTCCCCGACTCCATCCCCTGAATTGTGTAAGTTTTAATAAAACCTGGATCCACTGCTGTGGTTGACGGTAAAATTCCCTGTATCCACCATCTACTCCTTGCAGGAGGATTAGAGCCAGAGTTCTCAAATTTGGGGGTGCATCAGAATCCCCAGGGAAGGTACAATGTGCAGACTCCCTTCCTCATGCCCAGAGACAGTGTTCAGAGGGTCTGGGTGAGGCCAGGGTTGAGAAGCCCAGGATGGTGTCTGCCAGCCCCCTGGCCTGCCCTTTTCAGCAGCACCAGTAGCCAAGCTCTCCTGCAGGCTGGGCTCAGCTCCGGCCTTCAGCTGGCTCTGAGCAGAAGAGGCTGGTTGACAGTGGCTTCGCCCACATCATCAGATACGGAGGCCAAAAGGTTGGGTTTCTGGCACCAGGCCCGGCCCAAGTTTACCCTGGGTCCCAAACAGCCCCAAGTTGCCATCCCCAGAGCTCTTCCTCTCCCCATCCCCTGCTTACTCTCACCCATTGCCCAGTCCGTAGCCTGGGACTGGGCTCCTCACATCCCATCATCTTCTCCTACCCAGTCAAATGGAATCCTAGTGCCAGGGCCTGCCTGGTGTGGGCTATGGCTTGGTGCTTGGGACCTCCCAGGAGGAGCCTGATATGGGACTGCACACCCTCCCACTGGCCACCCCGGGTCTGCTCTTGTGGGCATACCATACCATCTTGACCTGTCAAGATAGTGGTCCCTGGAGAGGGCAGAGGATGTAACTGTCCAGCTCGGCGTGCGCTTTAGAGCAGAGACACCTTGATTTGCTCCCCTATTCTTGGAGTTTACAATCTGGGTTCAGCCACGCTCTTTTAGTAGCCCCACTGGTTTCATGAAAAATGGAATTTGTGAGTTTGCTCATTAAAATACTGGTCATCTTTGTTCATTTTAAAAATAAAATCATATTTTCCAAATTTTGTATTTCTGAAGACATTTTAAAAAATCCTTCAACTTAAGCAAACAGAATGTGACTATTTTGCTTTATGAAATGATGTACTTGGGGCTAGGATGGTCATATTCCTACATATAACACGTATAAATGTATGCTAATATAGCTGATCCAATTTTAAAGTTATCCATTAGTCCCAGTTTTGTTTTTGTAATTCATTTTAAGTCAATGAATTTGTAAAGAATTTTTTAAGCCCTGGACATTTTTTCTTGATTCCAACATATCTAAGTATTTATCAAAAAAAAAAAAAGTGAAATGGCAAATGCTAACGAGGAGGCATTACTGTGTAAAACCAGAACTTGACAATGGGCGCGTTATAGAATTCACAGATCTTTGCTCCAATGGGAATACTTCTTTGCTTTTTGTGCTCATTCTCCTCGTCCCCTTTCCTTGAACCAGCATCTGCATTTGCATCCTGGAAAACAGAGCATAGCACAAGGCAACAGGTTGCTAATGGGAAATGCAGGTACCTCAGCACAGTATTTAATAGACAGGCACCTTTTAAAGTAGAGAATTATAATATCCTCTGATTACTGAGATTCTTAAATTCATGGTAAGAGAAATGACAACAATTTTGAAATGAGAGCAGTAACACCGACCACGTTCTCCTCTTCCTTTTCTTTGCTGTCTTCGTTTTCCTTGGACGTTTGATATGAGAAGTCATCACAAGTGCGAAATTCCAAAAACAAGATGGTGGGGGGAAGAAGAATCCCTATTATAACCTATATAAGATGAGAAACAAATCTGTTTGTAAACTATGTCAATTTGAGACAATTTACCCAGTGCAGTTAAATTCTTTTTTATTATAATCTTTAACATTAGTCAAGACCTTGAAAACCTGGAACACGGGTATCACTGCTCTAATATTCTCTGGCTTATTTTTGTAAATTGGTAGAATTGCAGACTGTCAAAAATTTAAGAACATCTATGAAACTTTTTAGATGAATGGAAAACAGCATAATGTGTAAATCCCTGCTTAAAAAGCAAAGATCTTACACTGAATTTCAAAGCAGAGAAATCTTTGAATTAAAATATAAAAAAAACATTATCCTCCTCCAGTAAAATAGACCCTAAATATTTTATTTAGAAATAACTTAGATGTAAATGTGAATACCAAAAAAACCAAACCTTTTGCTGTCAGACTGATTCGGACTCATAGAGACTCATAAACAGTCAGCCAAGTTGTGAATAGAACAGAGTAGAACTGCTCCATAGGGTTTCCAAGGACTGGCTGTTGGATTCGAACTGCCGACCCTTTGGTTAGCAGCCGAGCTCTTAACTATGTGAATATGTGAGCCAATTTCAGTTACGAGAGTTGGAACACTAAAGGGCCTCACCAAAGGAAGATGTAATTGGGCTCAGCCTAGACAATAAATGACCCACAGATGGAGAACCAGGTGGCTATTTTTATCACTGTTGGGCTATGTGTCTATAATACTGTGATTCTTTCCCAATGTTCAAGGCTGATTAAAAAAAATTTCCTTCGATAATTCATTATTAAGAAAAACACAAAAGGGCTATTCCCACTACCTATTAAACCATATGATAAAACACAAGTACAAGCATAGCTTGTTTTTTGTGCTTTGCAGATACTGTGTTTTTTTACAAATCGAAGGTTTGTGGCAACCCTACGTCAAGCAAATTTATCGGTGCCATTTTTCCAACAGCATGTGCTCACTTTGTGTCTCTGCATCACATTTTGATAATTCTTACAGTATTTCAAACTTTTTCATTATTATTATATCTGTTATGGTGATCTGTGATCAGTGATCTTCGATGTTGCTACTGTATTTATTTTGAGGCACCACAAACCATGCCCATATAAGATGGAGAACTTAATCGATAAGTGTTGTGGGTGTTCTGACTGCCCCGCTGAGCAGCTGTTTCCCTGTCTCTCTCCCTCTCCTAAGGCCTCTCTATTCCCTGAGACATGACAATATTGAAATTAGGTCAATTAATAATCTTACAATGGCCTCTAAGTGTTCAAGTGAAAGGAAGAGTCGCATGTCTCTCACTTTAAATCAAAAGCTAGAAATGATTAAACTTAGTGAGGAAGGCACGTTGACAGCTGAGACAGGTCAAAAGCTGGGCCTCTTGTGCCAAATAGTTTAGGCAAGTTGTGAATGCAAAGGAAAAGTTATTGCAAAGGAAATGTTTTTGAAGGAAATTGAAAGTGCTACTCCAGTGAACACACAAATGATAAGAAAGCGCAACAGCCTTATTGCTGATATGGAGGAATTTTTTTTTTTATTATACTTTAGATGAAGGTTTACAGAACAAATAGTTTCTTGTTAAACAGTACATATATTGTTTTATGACAATGGTTAACAACCCCACGACATGTCAATACTGTCCCTTCTCAACCTTGGGTTCACTATTACCAGCTTTCCTGTCCCCTCCTGCCTTCTAGTCCTTGTCCCTGGACTGTTGTGCCGCATTAGTCTCATTTTGTTTTATGGGCCTGTCTAATCTTTGGCTAAAGGGTGAACCTCAGGAGTGACTTCATTACTGAGCTAAAAGGGTGTCCGGGGGCCATACTCTTGGGGTTTCTCAAGTCTTGTCAGGCTAGTAAGTATGGTCTTTTTTTGTGAGTTAGAATTTTGTTCTACATCCTTCTCTAGCTCTGTCCAGGACCCTCTGTTGTGATCCTGGTCAGAGCAGTCAGTGGTGGTAGCTGGGCACCATCTAGTTGTATTGGACTCAGTCTGATGGAGGCTGTGGTAGCTGTGGTCCATTAGTCCTTTGGACTAACCTTTTCCTTGTATCTTGTTTTCTTCAGTCTCCTTTGCTCCCGAAGGGGTGAGGTCAGTGGAGAATCTTAGATGCCTGCTCACAGGCTTTTAAGACCCCAGAAGCTACTCACCAAGGTGGAATGCAGAATATAGTCTTTATAAACTGTGTTATGCCAATTGAGCTAGATGTTCTCCAAGACCATGGTCACCACAGCCCTCTGCCCAGCAATTCAGTCCCTCAGGGAGTTTGGATGTGTCTATGGAGTTTCCATGACTTTTCCTTGTACAAGTTGTGCTGGCTTCCCCAGTATTCTGTACTGTCTTACCCTTCACCAAAGTCACTACTTATATATTGTCTATTTAATATTCCCCCCCCACCCCTCCGATCCCTTGTAACCAACAAAGATTGTTTCTTTTTGTGTGTAAACTTTTTCATG